TATATATATATATATATATAGCATTTTCATAACTATATATATATATCATTTTCATAACAGCTGGAAGCAACAGAGTAACTTGATTGTGCTTGAAAATTCATATCTCCCCTRTTAAAGCATTTGACAAAAACAAGTTTTACTGGCATGATTGGTAAACTAAATACCTAATGATCACAGAAAACCTCTCAGTCTGCAGAGGCTGTTTTGCAGCTTTATAGATAGTAAAACAAGTATCTCTATAGTTGTATAATGAGTGCAGATGGGAAGTTTTAACGAGAAACTGACACTCGGGGTACTGCTGCAGCTACTCCACCCTCCAGCTGCACGGATGAGAAGCATAAAAAAGGAGCAGATTAGAGGAAAATGGTGGATCAACTTCATCAGTTAATTAAACTCTATTGCTGCTTGATGAGCAATTAATCAAGGCAGCATGCAGAGTGTCAGAAAGGCCTGAGCTCCCTGGGTGTGGTATGCGTGCACCATACAGCATGTTCCTGAGGGGGGCGGCCCTGTGGGGAGCGGTGCTTACCAAGTGAGCAGCCCTAAAATTGTACAGGGTGTAATGGGCTGAGCTTATGTAAGCAGCTATCAATCACTTCCTGACATAAGCCTGCACCCTATTAGAGCTCCAGGATTAGGCCCCTCTCAGTGCTAAACTAACAGAAACTTCTCYTCTACGTCAATTGAATTTCAGGAAATGTTGTAATATATTAGATCATAATTTAGAAAATAAAGTAGAAGCTTTCCTGGCTCAGACTGCAGAGGCAATAATACAATAATATCAATATGTGCAGAGAAAATGAGCTGTAAACTTGGAAAAAAGCAACAAAATATAATAATTTCCCCTTAAGGAGGCAGCTCTATCTGCTGGTTTAGTTTTTGAGTTTTAAGTACTGTCTTTCATCCCACACCCTCATCTCTTTCAAGATTGTGCACAAGGCCCTTTTTTTATGCTGCGGAAATTCAAGTTGGCAGTTTGTGACTAAATGCAGTAAATTTATTAACAAGACCGCGGGGAACATTAAAAGTCAATTGAAGGAGGCTATTAAAAGCAGGATTTTAATTGGCTTGGTGCCTCGGCTAAAACTATTTTTTTTCCACTCTGTCTTCTTTTTTTTTCCCTTCTTCTTCTACTAAGAGCAGTAGTCATAAAAAAGTTCTGAATTAATGTGTTTGGTATGCATCAGTCCTTGAAAGAAAGTTTTCTTTTGAAATTACGGAGGCTTGTTTCATGTTAGTTTTTATGCTATATCCAAGGTCTTAAACTTAAAAAAGACAGAGTGTGAAATTGAGCTTTGTTGTCGCATCTGATGATATCAGCTGCTCATGYTATCTGGGATCTGCTAATTCTCCCTTTGCCTATTCCGATTTGAGATCCCGACAAGAGCTGAGGTCAGTGTTTCTCTCTGTTTTTCAGTATCAGTTGATTGGTGTTTGGGCCTGCAAGCAGTGAGTAAATTGTGTTAGCGCTGTAGCTTTAATGCATCAAATTATATAATCTCTTTAAATTACATTACAAAGCATACAATTGTCCTAGTTGTAGTAACGCAGTGTGACACATTACAAATGGTTTTAATTGCACCGTAGCTTCTGGCTCTTCTGAACTCGCGCTGCACTTTAAGGGGCCTGGGACCCGCGCGTGCACATGGATGTGTGTTTAGCGGCGGCTTCAATAAAGAGACAGTTTTGCGCACATGGGAGAGTTAGAGAGAGATAGTGAGGCGGTGTAGTGTTGGCTGTGCTGACTGGATAATATCATGCAAAGTGCTGCGTGTTATAGTAGGCTGAGCCTCCAACCAGATGCTCCGTTCACTGCAGCTCATAAGCAGAGAGAGCAGGAGACCGCCCGAACATACGCACTCATCTTCACTGGATTAAGCTGGAGGATTGAGGGACTTCGATCGTGTACTGTAAAAGAAGCTTATTAAACTTGACACTCATTATGTGAAGGAGACTGTGGCTAAGATGTGTTCAGTGTACACCAGTGAATTATTGTGTTAATATTATTTCTGTTGTGCTTTAGTGTTAAAGCAGTGTGGCTGAAGTTTGCACTTTAAATTAAATATTTAGTCTCAAAAACTTCAATGCGTTCGTGCATATTTAACTCTGGGGTAAAATGACTGGTTGTGTTTGTAGTTCTTTAGAGAAACAGATGGCAGCATCACACAAAGGACCAGGGCAGGTACATATACTGTATATATATATAAAGGTTTTCTTTTTTCAGCTGCTCCCTCTTGCACAGGTTGCAGAGTGAACTCCCATGAAAGATTTGGCAATTGCTTTACACCAGCTCGGATTCAAAATATTTTAGATACACGCTGTGGGACACAAACAAATAACATATGCATTTAAGGGTCATTTTTGAACCACAAAACATCCAGGAAACAACGGCACATTCAGGCACAACACATACGCTTTGTCAGTATGCCTGCCAAGACTTTAATCCATACAGTAATCTACCTTATGGAGAACCCAGCAGGTTTCTCGACTATCAAAATCAGACTCTTGGAAAAGTGTCACCTGTCACATATGCAAACCAAATAAACTGTGAAGACATCCCGCTGGTAATGCACTATGCTGTACATGACAATTCATAATGGAATTGATGAAAACCCAACAGGAAGACGTTTACAAATAAAAACAGAAAATAAATGAATTTGCTCAAATTAATCAGAACAAGAATACACAGAAACATTTTAAATAGTGTTCACAATGAGCTCTTAAAGCAAACATGTCCAACAATTCACTTATGGTTCATTTTAATCAGTGTACCGATTAATGCAGTTTCATTGCATCTCATTCACTATTGCTGTTTTTAAGTCAAATGAGTGTAGTCACTGCAAATTGATATAAATTTAACCAACATAGTAATAAACATGTCCCTCTTCTTTTTGGTAAAGATACACTGTTTTATTTTACGACAGAGTGTTATGGCCACACAACAAATATTTTTTTATTATGAAAATAATGTCATATCATTATGAGATTATAGCTTTAATATTATGAGAAAAAAATCATAATCTTTACATGACATTTTTACTAATTTTCCACCTGCTGTGGACAGCCATGCGTCTCACTGTGTTTATGGAGTAATGCAATGACTTTTGGGTCTGTTGGTAATGCTTTCACCTCTAAATTATGTGATGACTAAATCTGTCAATGCCACCATAAATTACAATACGGCTTCTGTTTTTCATATTGTCTTTTCAAAGTCCTGCTACTGATAATTTGATGCTTTTGTGCTAAAAGATTAGGTAGCCTATTTTTAAGAACAACTTCACAAGTTGCTCAACATGCCTCATTTTAATGCAGTGGTAAGACTGCTTTTTCATGTAAAGGTTTTCGTAATGGTACGACTTTATTCTCGTAAAGTTACGACTTTATTCTCGTAAAGTTACGACTTTATTCTCGTTATGTTACAACTTTATTCTCATAATTTTGACTTTATTCTCGTAATGTTACAACTTTATTCTTGTAATATTATGACTTTATTCTCATAATATTATGACTTTATTCTCCTAATGTTACAACTTTATTCTCCTAATGTTACAACTTTATTCTCGTAATATTGACTTTATTCTCGTTATGTTGCGACTTTATTCTCATAATGTTGCGACTTTATTCTCATAATGTTATGACTTTATTCTCGTAATGTTATGACTTTATTCTCGTAATGTTATGACTTTATTCTTGTAATGTTATGACTTTATTCTTGTAATGTTATGACTTTATTCTTGTAATGTTATGACTTTATTCTTGTAATGTTACGACTTTATTCTTGTAATGTTACGACTTTATTCTTGTAATGTTACGACTTTATTCTNGACTTTATTCTTGTAATGTTACGACTTTATTCTTGTAATGTTACGACTTTATTCTTGTAATGTTACGACTTTATTCTTGTAATGTTACGACTTTATTCTCGTAATGTTACGACTTTATTCTCGTAATGTTATGACTTTATTCTCGTAATGTTATGACTTTATTCTCGTAACGTTGCGACTTTATTCTCGTAATGTTAAGACTTTAATCTCATAATATTATGACTTTATTATCATAATGTTGCGACTTTATTCTTGTAATGTTGCAACATTATTTTCATAATGTTACAACTTTATTCTCGTAATATTATGACTTTATTCTCGTAATATCATGACTTTATTCTCATAATGTTACGACTTTAGTCTCGTAATAAAAAAAAATTAAAAATCTCATTGTGTGGCCCTAATACTCCGTCTTATTATTTGTACAAGAAAATTGACAATAAAGTTAAATATATACAGCACATGTATTATCTGAAGCTTTAGGTTGGTGCATTCAGGGAATTAAAGAAACATTGTGGTGAAGCAAAGCCCAAGCAATACAAGCATGATTTGCCATTTTTAATGAACTGCTATTTTAAATAGATTTTTAATATTTCTTTAGTATATGTTAAAATAACCCTAAGTTGCCCTCATTTTTTAGCCTCTTTCGGTTTATTTGTGCTAAGTCTGTTGGCAGCACTGTCCACAGTAAATGTATATGATTACCTAAAATCTTTTTTCCTGTCTTCTTCTCCTTTCAGGAAAAAGGAAACATTGCTGTTGTGTTTAATGTGGGAACAGATGACATTAACATCGAGGAGACATCAAAGTTTGTAAATGATGGAAAGTACCATATAGTGAAGTTTACAAGGAGTGGGGGTAATGCCACTCTGCAGGTGGATGACCTGCCAGTCATTGAGCGCTACCCCACAGGTGAGTCCATCGCTTTGTCTTTAATTACGTCTGCTGCTTCTTAAAGCCGATAAAATGATCGAGATTTCCGTTAAAGCCCTGTCTGTTAGGATGTCTTTACGTTTACCTGGCATGTGCTTTAATTGCTTTTTATCTTTCTGTTTTCAGCAACTGTTTAGAATACCAGTGTTGTTGAGTTTCTACCCTGAATAATAAATGATTTGAAGTCTCACATAAAAATCTTAAATATGACCAGTCCAAAGGTGCATTAAGGTGCAACGAGTCTGTGTCTACATGTCTGCATTATAACATCCCTAAGCAAAAGTAATTTACATACAGATTGTGTTCCTAGTACCTAAGATCAATAATCTGTTGACTGACGGATGGCCACTTTTATTGTGGAAAGTAATTGTGTCCCATTTCAATTATTTATCCTTCTGCCAATACAGTTGATTGATTGATTGAAGGTAATGGGGTAGACAAGCCTGCAATAATACAGTCAAAGTAAATCTGGTTGCTTACACAGAATTAAGTACCAGATGATCAGCTGCATTGCAGCATCTACTGTGCTTTGGCATTCATCATTTTGACAGCGTGCACCACAATTACTCACACACACACACCAGAAAATAAAAAAAACAAGCTGTGTTAATTTTCTTAGTCATTAGTGCTACTAATAATTTCATTTGTGTAGCACTTTTTTATAAACACAGTTTACATGACAGTAGAAGACAAATGCAGCAATTACAACCCAGTGCAATGGTTGTTAGGTAAAATGAGGAAAAAGAAAAGAAATAGTTTTGTATTTTAGGTCTGAAGTAATAGTTGTTTTTTATTATTTTACATTGTGCATTTAACCTTTGAAAACTCTTAAAAGTGTCAGGGAAATGTCAAACTTATGTCACCAGWTTTAAGGGGGAAAGTATGTGGTAGTTTGCCGGCAAAGGACAACAACTCAGCAACACTGGTATCTGTCTGCCGTGTTAAAATGTCAATCATTTGAATTGAAATGCTAGTGCTTGTATTGTTGAAGTTATTAGCTTTTTTTTAAAATGAAAGGCTTTGACAAAAGCTACGGAGTATTAAGGATGTGTGAAAGTGACTGTTGAAATTTTTAAAAAAGCAAAAAAGAAGAAACGTTGCTTTTTATTCCTGGAGAGCAAAAAGGCTGCGGCATTTGTTAGATTAGAAGACTCCATAAAATGAATGAGCGAACGAAACAAACAGAATTAAACCTGCCTATTGCTTACTTCCTGCTGTTTAAAGAGCTTTTAGCTTTGACCATTGCATTCATCTAAATGGAAAAAGAAAAGGTTTTATGACTCTGGCTCATTTCTCACTGTTTGCCTTCATGTTACAGTCTCAACAATAAAAACAACAAGTCCAAATGGGCTTTGTCATATTATGGATGAACTGCAATGAGGATATTCAAAGTCAGATCATTTGAAGTGGGATTTTGTGGTTTTGTTGATAGCTCTTTGAACAATTTCAATTTAAAGAAATAAAGTTTGTTTTTGACCAGATTGATGGGTTAATGGCTAGTCTGAGATGGAAATGAATTTTTGGGATCTTTAAAGAAGACACATCCTGCTTTTAAATCCTTCAGTTGYGGTCTGTATAAAGTGGAACTGCGATGTTTTCCTCCTTATTGTAACTCCACAAGCCCCGTCCCTTTTTAAAGGTGTGTCTCGGATCAACTTGTTTTGAGGCTGTCTCTTTAAATCTAAATATTTGCTTCACACCCCGCCCCCATCCAGCTTCCAGACTGCTCCATTCCAGTTTGATAAAGGGGTTTATGACTATAGATGCGCAGAAACGTTTTATTTACAAATGAATTAAAAGATGTTAACAAGGGAAGACTTGTCCATCCAGCCTGACATGTTGGAGCCAGAGTCTGACCCAGAGAGATAGAGGATGAAGTTTTGTCATTATGTAGTTATTTACAAAGAATTGTTTGGGTAATTATGAGCAATAACAGTGTCAGCTGCAGTGCTTCATTCTGAGGCATTTATCTACAGCAGGTAAGATGTTGCTTGTTTTAACATTACCCRCAAATACAAACCATCTATTATATGTAACAATTCATCCGAATAAAATTTGACAATGTTAGTTTAAACTTAGAATTAGACTGACCAAATGTTAAGAAAAACCTCACTAAATAATATTGATTTCAGCTGTATGACTGTAATAAACATTTATTTGACCCTTGGATTTTAACAAAATGACTCACTAAAAATCAACAGTTTTTCTCTGTGGTTAGTAAAGCATCAAATATTGAAAATCTGGATATGAAAATACTGACAATTCCTGCTGCAGARGGAAAAACCACAACATTTGACCAACTGCATCCCCACCAATCATGCATCAGTGACAACCCCAAGTCCAGCTAGCTTATTAAGCCCGTTGCGGACTAATTATATCTAATCACAATTACTGCGTGGTCCTCCCCTCTCCCCAGCACACAAAGCCATTATTCTTTCAGCTCGCCTGCAGTTTGATTAGTATCCATGTATGCCTCTAACACACTCATAATAGCAGCCCTCAGCCATTCTTAGGCCACTCACAGATCAACAGTGATTATAATAAAAGTAGACAGCAAAGATAAAAATGATGACCGGAGAGTCAGAAAGAGAGAGGAGGAGTTTACACCAAGGGGAGCGATCACTCTCAAAGCAAGGAAATAATTGCTTCACCAGACCCTCTATTGCTGCCCTAGTAATCTCATTAAAAAGTCTCGTACTGCACGCTTATAGGCCATTAAAAGTCTTTAGTGCAATTATTAGAATCCAAACTGCTAGACGCAGACACATAAGTAGCCTCCTGTTTATTGTGCTGCGCTTTCCCCTCGCTTTATTTTTGTTCTGCTTCTCGTCCGTGCTGCTCGCAGTAGGATTGTGTGGGGGAGAAAAAAAATGTTCCCTTGTCGTTAGTCTTGGCCATGGAAGTAATACCATCACAATGGTGCTGCTGGGCCCGCAGGGTACAGCGCAGCATCCTATCTGAGCATCCAATGAACACGCGTTGCACACAAAGATAATGGAGGAGTCTCTGGCCTTATTCTTTTTTGCCATTATCAGAGCGTGGTGCACTTACAGAGCCCCCTGTCTCCGACTCTCCTCAGCTCCTGCTTCCCTCTTTTTCTGTCCTTTTTACCTCTATCTGTCCACCCTTGCCCCCTCGTCGATCCCACCCACTGTTTTTTAACCTTGTGTTTGTTTTCTGTCCTATGGGATAGAAGCACAGTGGGGGGTTATCCGTCAAAGCTCCATCCTATCTACTCTTTTTTTTTCTTGTTTTTGAGCCTATTCAGCCTATTGTCTTCAAAGTCATGACAGAGCAAGATTGGTTCATTAGCTGTCGCAGCCAGACTAAAGAATAAAGGATGCAGAATATTAAAGGGATCCACGATTAATTGTAACATTGGACTTTATTTGATTAACATATTTTAAAATGTAGTCTGTAAAAATAATGTAGGCTGTTTAGTTAAGTACATTTTTAAAAATATTTTGTCACAAGGACGGAGCCCTTTTATTGACACCACAAAGCATTCTGGGTAAATTATGATGTCGACTAGGTCATCGGTGAGGCATCATCTTGGACAATATCTGACGATCGTCTCTTTTAAATGAAACCAGAGAGCGTTGACAGTAAGGGGAATGTAGYAATGACTCAGCCTGCAACTGAAAATATGGATGGAGGACAACAGAGCTGCTTCATGGAAGAAGAAGCCCAGCTTTGCCTGTTAGCTTTAGCGCCAATGTTATATTGCTGTATATAGATACATGTGTACTGTATTAGCTTGATGCTAGTGCAAAAGCTAACAAGCTAAACTGAGGTCCTCCATCCACATTTTCAGTTGCAGGCTGAGTCATTCCTACATTCTCCTCTGTCATGTAGATGAGGACCTCAGTAACGAGAGGAGAATGTGTAGCGCTGAGCTAATACATATAAATGGTGATAGCATTGGGGCTAACGCTAAAGCTAACAGGCTAAGCTGAGGTTCTTCTTCCATGAAGCAGCTCTGTTGTCCTCCATTCATATTTTCAGTTACAGGCTGAGTCATTTCTACCTTCTCCTCTCTGTCAACGCTCTSTGGTTTCATTTAAGAGCCAATTGTCAGATATTGTCCAAGATTAACCTTCAGGGTGGATATAGCTCGCCAGCTGCCTCGCACCGATGACCTAGTTGATGTCATCATTTACCCAGAATGCTTTGTGTGTAAATAAAATGACTCAGACAGTGTAATATAGTTTTAAATTTTCAGTTTAAAAATGATAAAAACTGAACAGCCTACAGTATTTTTACAGTCTTTATTTTACAGTTAAAAATAAATGTTTATCAAATAAAGTCTAATGTTGCAACTAATTTTGGATCACTTTAATGATAATAAAAATATGTCATAAGATTCATGTTGGTTTCACTTTTTCTAATTGCCCCATCTCCATGAACAGAGTGAACATTTGTGTATTTGCTCATTTAACATGGTGAGTGTAGGGCTTGTAATGAGTTAAAGCTCCCACCTTATCTGAACACTTTATTAATAAAAAAAAAAAAGAAAGAAAGAAGAAAACAAGTGGGTAAGGGCAAAGCAGGTCAGGTGGGACGGCTCAGCTGAATCGCTGTTGTCTGGCAGGGGAGATAAGCCAGGCTGTCCTACACCAAACCAAATCACCACTTAGCAGCAGTCAGCGGCTGCGCTCGCAGGCGGAATGAATGGGCTCGGGTCCTGCATCAAAGCCCAGGGGATAGCATTGTTTAACACCCGGGTGTCCCGCAGTGGGGATCAATACACGATCACACCTTGATTATATCCACACTTAATTAACCTCAGTGTAAGGATAGACTGAGCATGCCGCTGAGTGCAGAGCCAAATAGATAAGCTCCACAGTCTTCGAAAACGGAGCATATTTTTTAAACAAAAGTGAAGGGTTTTTGGCTCTCAGGCAGAGTGTGTAAGGAAAGGAGTGTGTGTTAGTTACGTAAATCCACCTGACACTCCCCTATGGTTTCACTATTAGTTTTCTCGCCTTCTTATTAAAAAAGAGCACCACTGATTTTTGAGACGTTTTAATTGCATCGTGTCACTACATAGGTGTAGGTTTTTTATTAAAATGACAAAACAAACAAGACTTGTGACAATGTGACAAGAAAGAAATTAAGCCAACCTTTAGGTCAGGAAATTTGCATTGATTATTAATAAATGTATAAGAGAAAAAAATGCAGTTTTACTCATTTTCTAATCGTCCTCRCTGTCCTTTGAGGACGTTAGCTAAAAATTCTCCACGTCCCAGTCTGATTATGGCCTCCCCTCAAATGAGGTGCCGTAGTAACAGGAAATGGAGGTGACATAACTAACGTCCAATGACTGCCAAACGGAGGTGACAGGAATTAGCCACGTAAATGTTCCATTACAACCGCAATCAGAGATTATTCATTATTGTATTGCACTGCAAACATTATGGGGCACAGCTGTGTTTGGCCGTGCGAATGTTTACTCTGTCGAATGCATTATTTACCCACGTCTGCACCCCTGCTGTGCACGACTTTCTGAGGAATTTATCGAGACCGTTAAAAAAATGATGGAAAATTTGGAGGAGCAATTAGGTTATTTCAAAATGCTGAATAGAAAATGATATGCATCTCAAGTTTGGGAATATTCAGTTTATTTAATGCAAAGTGATTAATGAGAAAACTATAAAGAGATGATTCATAAGGCCCTACTGAAGAAAGTTAACATGAAAAGGAACTCTTTTGTAGTTCTAATGGTTGTTGAAMGCAGCGTTTCCTTTTTTCTTTTTCAATAAGATCCATTTATTCATATTTCCTGTTACAAAAAAAATGTTTACACTTATAAACATTTATATAAAAATGAGCCATTTCCTCCAAGAGGTATATAATGCAGATAATAAAAAGCTATCATTGTGCTCCTGTGGCCTAAAAAGCACTTTAGCCCTTATCGAAACGTAAGTGATGCAGTTGTATAGTGTAAGTGTCTCCTGTTATGGCAGGATCTGGCAGAATAATTGAAAGCTCTTAGTGTTTCCTTTAAAAAGTTGCAAACAAACCAAAAAAATTAAAAATCCAATCACAGTTCAGAATATCCCAAAGTGTGTTACAGCTGATAAAACTAAAACTAACAATAACAAGAAAACCACAAGCAGGTTCATTAACAACAGTAATAGTTTGGGAGTTACGGGTGCAGGCAGTGCATGGGCAGGTACTTATAAATGAAAGGTTTTAATTTAAAAAATAAAAACAAYCAGGCAGCCAAAACACACAAGGATCTGATGGCCATTGGATCAAACCAAAGAGCTCATACGTGTTCACTGCGACAAATAATTGGTGAATAAGAACAGGTGGGTTAATGGACGGAGAAACAACAGGTGACCTGACAAAACCAGCAACAGGAAACACGTTTAAAACTAGGCACTGAAATCCAAAATGACAGAACTACCAAACACCACAGAGATCCCACAACCATGATGAAAAGATTACAGAACTAGAAGCACTCGGAGAGCGCAAACCTCCACCAAGCCAAGGCCGTATGTTTGTTTGTTTGTTTGTTTGTTTTGTGTGTGATTTATTACATTTTTAGTCATGTAAAGTCAAGTGCTTTACAATGACTAAACACGTAATAAATTACATGCAACAGAAGGAGTGGAACAGCATCAGCAAAAAGAAAACATTTAGCCAAAAAAAATAAAAATAAACAGAAATAGAATAAACATAATTGTTTTAGTAAACCTTAAGGTTATCTAACAGCTAACAGACCTGAACGGGGGGTGGTGAGTTAGCTAGCTTACCTTTCCGATACAAGTGGGGGGAAAAACTCCAAAAACGTAAAGACAAAATACAAAAATGCTAGGATGCGCAGGCCGATGTATTATGAAAATGYTCTGTTGTCACATTAAAGTAACTTCAAACAGTAAGTTTTTTGATTTCAAAATAATTCGGTCTAAAGTTTTATTTCCATGTGCCTTCGTGTGATTGGTCTTCTGCACCGCTTCAGGCAATCCCGTTGGATGTCTACAGTCGGGGGTGTTGACCCATCTATGAATGACCCGATGTGATTGGAAGTGTACGTCAGCTTCCTTGAAGCTGATTGGCTGTTCCTGGGCTTCCTTGAAGCTGATTGACTGTTCCTGGGTCTGGATCGTGATCTGGATCATCACCAAAATTTAATGTTGTGTCACTTTGGCCAATACCCACTTGTGGTGAAAATTTCATGAAAATCCGTCCATAAGTTTTTGAGTAACTTTGTCCACAGTCAGACAGACAGACAGACATGACCGAAAACTTTACACCCCCCCCCCCCTTTGGCGGAGGTAATGATGGCTGTAACATGAAGAAATATAAACTTCTTTGAGGAGCTTCCTTTAGATTTAGTGTTTTTTTTATCTTTTTATTTCTCTTCTGTTAGGTAAGGTTTAAACAGTAAAACTACTTGTAAAATGATATATTTTGTTGTAGTTTAAAGTACATGGCTTTAATCCAGAGAGGCATAATTGCACCACACWCTGTTGGATAAGGCTTATGTAATGATGGTAGAAATAATGAACAGAGCGACAGCGGTACACTGCAGAGTGATAAAACTGCTTCGTTGTGCAGATAACTGGGATTAGATTGAAAGTATTGCTCTCCTCATTGACTTAACTTATAAAATAATATATACCGTGTGCCTTTGTTGTGTTTTCGTAATGCAGATCATCTTTCTGCATTTGTGTTAAAGGGAAACAAACCCAACTCCCACTGCGCTCCAAATTTACACAATCCACTACAATCAGATTTCATGAGCTGTTCCAACTTTAAACATTTTTCTGTGTAACTGATCCCCAACAGTAATTTAAGCTGGTGTGATTAAAAAAGGGGGGTTTTCTTCACTTTAAGACTCATCATCACATCAAATGTGCATCTCTTACAAGATTACTTCTTTTAGTTAGMTTCTTTGTGATCGTTTCGTCTCTGGAGCTATTCTTCACTGATTCATTGTTAGCTACCGAATCTTTTATCTGCCAGAACTGAATTAATATAGTTGATGGGACAAACATTGTCAATCTGCCGGAAGAATGGAGCTGACTGAATTCAATCTCGGCAGACAATACCAGGGGAAAAGCACTCAGAGACACTGCCACTTTGCTAAAGGTTTTCTGTTTTGGAGAGGTTATTGGCCTTGACAAAAGGGTGATGCAGAGTTTGCCCTCATTAAAGCCAAAGTGTCGCTCAAAATGTTGGAGTGGAGTTTTTCTGTAGCCGCTCTGCCTTTCTCCTGTCACTTATTCGGCTTATATTCAGAGCAATCTTTAAAAAAAAATCACTAATGTCATTTAGTCAGTCAAACTCACGTCTTTCTAAGTTGTAGCTTTTGTCAAAGCTGTTTAATWAAAGGTTTTTACAAGTGGACGTACCGACGATGATGCTGTCCTCTGACAAGATYTTCTGGTTATTCTCTGTACATTGTAAAACTGTAAATAGATGATAATTTCTTGTCAATTAGGCAATTTAATTGGGGTTTGTACATGTTAAAGTAAATCATAAAATATGTATTTAATCAATTTAACATATAAAAGCTAATTTAAAAAGAGATAAAATGGGCTGAAGATACGTGGTAAAGAGTTTGAAATGCTTAAATTTGTGAATTTTGCTTGTCTTTTTTAACATAGCTTTATTAATCTAAATGAAATAATTCCATGCTAGTATACATATTTTCAWATAACATAGGCCTAATTTGTTGACTAAAATAAAATAAAGATGGACGTTTTGTTCAAATAATGTTTCAGTAAAATTGTTTGTTTGTCTTTTAAACTTAAACTTTTTAAACTTAAAACTCTTGTGCGGTTGTATAACTTCAGCTTTAAGTATGAACATTTAACCTTTGACCTTTCAGATTGTAACCAGTGAAATGTCTCTTTAAACTTTAAAGGCCACATTGATAACGAACGCCTGGCGCTTGCTAGACAGCGAATCCCATTCCGACTCGGTCGAGTAGTTGAAGATTGGCTACTCGACAAAGGTAAAATCACTGATTAAAATTTCAAATAAAATAAACTCATCTTAACCAAGTTGTAGCAGTATTTTGTAAATAATAAACCTAAATAAGTAAATGTTTAMCATAACTATAAAATTAAAAGATTTGAGCAGTTAAATTCAGTTTGTAATGTATTTTTTTTACTTTTCATAATAATGTATTTACTTGATAGAGCTGTTTAACCCTCCTGTTGTCCTCATTTTCTGTATACACCCTTTGTCCTCCGGGTCAAAATGACCCGTCTCCACTAAATTCCCAATATAAGCAGCTTAATTGAATTTTAAACACCAAATTTCATCTTGTATATTGTCATTCACCACAAAATGTGTGAAT